CAACAATACCCTGTGACTGCAGTTCAGTTACTCACTATCTACACACACATTACCTTACCTTCACGTTGTCCCCCTCTTTTATATACCCGACTACCCTATATCTAGTAAATACTAGAGCATTCGCCAAAGTACAGGATAGTTCTAGAAACGTGGCGTCACAGTAGTCATGTGACTCGCTGACGCAACAAGATATATATATAAACCGTATTAATGAAAATATCCATGACATGTCTTCGCCTGGTTGTTAGGGCGCTCGACTCGCAACCTGTGGTTGGTGGGTTCAAATCCCCGTAGGGGCGTTATAATGTGACGATTAATATCACTGTTCGTTAGTAAAAGAGTAGCCTTGGAGTTGGCGGTTAGTTTTGTTAACTAGCTCCCTTCCCTGTAGCCTATCGCTGTTAAATTAGGGACGGCTAGTGCAGATAACCCTCGTGTAGCTCTGCTCGAAATTTATAACTAAAACATGTATTCATAATATTATATTATTAGAAGTTACAGCTTTTACAGTAAGGAAGATTAATTTTTTAAACAGGTACAGCTGATGTTTCGATCACTACTGGTGCAATCACTCTCAAGTACACAAGTTTTAACGGTAAAGAAGGTTTTAGTATTTAAATCAACATTAAACAATCTAATATTTTAAATACTAAAAGTTTCTTTACCGTTAAAATTTATATACTTTAGAATGATCGTACCAGTGATCTAAACGTCGTAGCTGTTTTTTTTTAATGTCTTCCTTACTGTAAAAAGCTGTAAGTACTAAGTAAAACTCAAAAGGAAAATATCTTCATAATGTTTCAAACATTCTTATATTTATTTAAAAATTGGTATGTCCATTCACAAGATGGCGCTAAAAGTTTTTTTTTTATTATCTGTTTATTTCAGGGCTATCATGCTTGTGAGATTGACTAATTTAGTCTTGTAACATTTTCTGTGATTTGATTCTCATTTGAAAGAATTGATTATATGGAAAATAGTTTGTGACAGCATTACTTCTGCAAATTGGCAACGATATTGTAGAGCCACTTCTCTAAAACCAAAAGGTAGGACGTAGTCGCCAAAATTCCTAAATTGTTAGTTAACTTTTAAGTTTGCCCACAACTTTTACTTTTAACTTTGCTTGCGGAACGTCGGAAGATCATACCCAGGCAAGGACACGACTGTTTAGTGTTTAGACTTATAATAATCGTTGTAACGATAAACATTTTCGCTAATGTAAACAATCGATGAGTTTGCCCAGTTTGTAATATATGTTACTGTTAGATGTGGATATGTTTTTATTTATAATTGTGGATTTCTTTGTTAACAAAGCTCTAGAACCACTAAAGTTTTTTTTAAAAATTAAACATGTAATTGCAACTTTTTCATCAAGCTGTTTCCAATAAGGAAAGTCTAACATAAAAATGTTCACTCTTTAGGAGGAAAATGTACCAGTGTTAGATATAACACTGAAGGAAACAGAATCTATGCAATTTTGAAGTATTATGATTAAAGTAGTTAATACTCAGCATGTTTATGAAATATTATTTGTAATTGTATACCAACAGTAATTTTGTATGTACAGTCTAAAAAGTTAAAGAACAGAATAATAACAACTAAACATACAAGATTGAAATAATTGAAGAGACAACTTGTGTTTTGAAACTATAATATTAATTTCTTTTATGTTTGTTCACTTAGAAGTTACCATGCATAAAAATATTTCCCCATAAATAACTTTTTTTGTCACTTGTTGCATATGAATCACTACTTATTGTGTTTATTACTGATGCAATTGTTTTTAACGTATTTTTGAATATGATGGTAACAGAATGATCTGAACAGTATAAATATTAAAAGTATTCTATTCAAAGCTTATTTGTGATATAACAGGTATAAAATCGTTTGGTAAACTTTCTCTCTTAAAGTATAAAAAGTTTGGAGTCAGTTCACTAGCAAGTGGCAGATTCATTAAACTTTTTTTTAAACTTAGTACATAGTATAGGAAAAACATAATCAAGCCATAACCTCATAAGCATAATTTAACAAGTCAATTTAAAATTGTTAACTTAAAAAGGGAGAATATGGATTGTCAAAAAAGTACAGAAACAAGTTGAATCAAAATGCAAATATTATATTTCCAAGCCTACAACTAGAGACTCTTAAAAAAAAAATTGTAAACAAACTAGGCTGGAAATAGTGTTGACATTATTTTATCAAGCTACAAATCCATATTTTTTTTACTCCACTAAAATTGGTAAGTACTGTAAAGAAGGGGTCAAAATAGGGATTTGTAGATTGAGAAGATAATGTAGACACCATTTCCAGCCTAGTTTGTTTACTTTTTTTTAGAGTCCCTAGTTGTAGGTTGTAAAATATAATCTTTGCATTTTGATTTTACATGTTTCTGTACTTGGTTTATGATCCCTATTCCTTTTTTAAATTAAAAAAAATTAATTATATTGTTTCTTAAGTTTTTTTGTGTTCATTTGTGGAGAATCAATTTTAAGCTACATACGTGTATATGCATTCATTTAAATGTTACATGTTTTTCAACAGTTTACTGCTGCATTGCCTTTTTTTTTTTTCCACCCAGCCATTATTTACTGAGCCAAGTGTTTTTGTGTAAACACGTGTTTAACAAGTGTCAAGTACAAAGAAAGCCGCTGACAACAACATCGCATATAAAATTATCTACTTATAGTCACATAAATCAACTTTCATTGAAAAATAATCAACTTTTTAAATAGGACATGGATCCATTCACAGTATTTCTTATAGAATATCTGTCTAAGTTTTGGTGAAAAATATTCAGCTGATTTTGCTGTAGGTTTGTGAAACAAAAATATGAATAATAATAATAAAATAGTACTGAAATATACACACATACAATTTCAGCTAAGTACGAAAATCAGTAGAATAAACCACCACTCATAAAGATAGAGAAATCTACTATGGTAATTGTGTACTGTTAGAAAAGTAACTGAAATAGTCTCAGAAAACCATGCAAAGACAAAGTATAATAGAGATGTGGAGAAACAATGAAAAACAGCAAACTCAAGAAATGATAAATTTTCATTGTGACAGTTTCTAATTAATGCGCTATAAGTTGTACAAATTATATTCCAATTGATGCACATTAGTAAAAAACAGGATTTTTTTCAGTGATGGAAAGTAAAGGATTTAGAAAAATTGTTCAGGGTGAAAAAAATGAAGGCGCTTGAATTAATTTTAAAACAACCCTATGACATACTCAATACTGCTGAATTACTATTGTCCAGGTTTCAGTAAAGTATTCGTAGCCATTTTTTCTGTCATAACTTGTAAATTTATAGTCAATAATAATAAGGCAAGAGACACTGTTATAGATATATACATTGTTTACTGCAATAAAACAAAGTGTTTCTGACTAGTATAATGGTGCTTAAATTGCTTCTACATTTCTATGATGCTTGAATGGCTTTGAAGAGCTTATGTTGGTAGTGAAGAAGAACTTGGAAAAAAATTGTATAGGGTGGAAATCTTGAATTTCAAGAATCAACTTAAAAGTAACCCTACAACCCTTGCAGGAGTTTGTTTAGTAGCTGTGCTTAGATTTTGGCACAGTATACCTAGCCATTTTTGCTGTAGGATTCATTGCTTGAATGGCTTCAAAGAGAAACTTGGCCAGTAGCGATGAAAATCTGATAAAATCTCTCCTTCTTTTTCAAGAATCAACATTAAAATAGTCCTATGACCTGTGCAATAGTTTTTTTAATAGGTTTGTCAATGTTTGAATAGCTCATGTAACAACCCTTCCATCCTGGGTATCATCATAGTAGCTCTGCTCTGAACATTTTCCAATAATTCAATGTCATTCCTAAGATAAGGAGCCCAAGACTGAAGACGGTACTCCAAATGTGGCCTAACAAGTGACCTGTACAATGAAATTATAACCTCTTTAAACTTATAGTCAATATTTCTGTAGATACAACCTAAACTCCTATTTGCCCTACCACTAGCAACATCACACTGCTTTGGATGGCTTAAGAGACTGATCAAATAGAACACTATGATACTTTTCTTCCATAAAGCTGTTAAGGTTATTCCCATTCAAGTTATACTTACAATTCAAATTATGATAGTTCACATGCATTTCTTTGAATTTGGTATAATTGAAAACCACCTGCCTCTTATTCACCCAACTTGCCAAATGATCTAAATCCTTTTGTAAAGCAGCAGCATTCTTCTTCCAGCTAGCAACACCAAGACCTTAATATCAAATAATCTATTGACTATTCCTTCATCTATGTCATTGATGTAAATCAACAAGAGTAAAGGTTTTATCACTGAGCCTTGAGGTACCCCAGTTGTGATATTAATTCATTTTAACTGAACTCCATTTATAATAACTCTCTGCTTTCTTCCATCCAGTCATTTCTTTATCCAGTGAACCAACTTATCCCTCACACCTATAGATATCTTTTTTTTTTTAAAAGCCTTTTATGTGGTACTGTGTCTGATGCTTTCTTAAAATTGGGATATAGTGAATCCACACTAGTACCCTTATCTACACAAGCAGTAACTTCAAAGAATGTCAAAAGTTCAGTAAGGCAAGATTTTTCCCTAGTGAAACTATGTTGATTATCCAACAAAATTTTAAACATTGTTAAATGGCTTTGCAAAGTGTCCTCTTTCAGACTTCAAGAAACTTTTTTTTTTTTTTCATTTCTCATAGTCCTTGCGGACCGTTGAGCCGATGGCAGAGCAAGATCTGCCATCGTTTCTAAAGCTGTTTCTTACGTCAAGGATGCAACCCACTTGACAGCCTTCCCTCTTACCGTGAAAGGGCGAGCATGTTTGGTGTGACAGGGAATCGAACCCGCAACCCTCAGATTGCAAGTCGAGTGCCTTAACCACCAGGCCATGCCTGTCAAGAAACTTTTACTACCACTAATGTAAGACTTAGATGCCTATAGTTATTGGGGCAATGTTTTTATCACTTCCTTTGAAAAGAGGAGTAACTTTGGCCAACTTCCAATCCTTTGTCCTCTGGCACCTGCCCAATATTCGAGGACTGACAAAAAATAGTAGTAAGTGGCTCACGTATCCAATCGTTAACCTTCTTCAAAACCCTTGGAGAAATATTATCTGGCCCAAGAGCTTTATCATTCTTTAAATTTCCCAGATTTAATGTGATCATCTTGTTCGATCTTGTGTCCATCTAGCAACTGTTCAGGATGAGGAATATTGCTTAAATCTTCATTGGCAAAAATTGAGGGGAAAAAAGTAGAATTTAATAATCCGGCCATCTTATAATCATCAGCCTTTCCTTATCATCCCTAAAGGCCCTACTCCCATCCTAACATCTTGCTTACCCTTAATGTATTTCAAAAAATCCTTATTGTTAATTTTTACTTTTGCAGCCAACCTTTTTACATATTTCTGTTGGATTTCTTAATTTCCTGTTTGACCAATTATTTTTATCTTGCATAATCCTCTAAATTTCTCACCTTAGCAGTCAGTTTTAACTTCTTAAATTTGTGATTTTGTTTCTTTAACTTCATCCCTTACACCAGTGTTTTTCATACTGGAACTGCTTTATCACAAGCACATGGCTGGTCCATGGGATATCACAGAAACAAACAAAAACTGACAGAATATTCATTTATAAACCATAATGATTTTTTGTTGTATTTACCTTTTATTGGCCCACAACAGTTTAGGAAGGCAGCGAGCCAGTCCCTGGTACCAGAAAGCTTGAGAAACACTGCCCTATACCAGTTGTCAGCCAACCTGGTTTTCTACTTGCAGTCATTCTTTTTTTATCTTTTTTTGTATAAGGAACATGTCTCTCATGAATGTTGAAAAACATATTTAAAAATTTTTCCACATTTGATCAGTATTTCCAGTTAATTTAGATGCCTAATTCATAACTGATGATTCTTGTTGCACCCCTTCATATTTAGCTATTTTTTAATTTAACCCCCAAAACCTCATTATTCTTGATCTCCATATGTAGTAAAATATCAAACCTAACAGAACAATGATCACTATCACCCTACCCCCTCCCAGTCTCCACCCT